TGAAGCAGAAGATAAGTGGTTTGGGCTTGTCTGAAGCGAAGCAGATGTTCGAGCGGGTGGCGGATCTGACCCAGGGCGCCCGAGAGTCATTTCGGTGAGATGGAAGGATGAAAATAGCGTTCATGTAGTAGTAGGAGCAGTAATGATGGTAATAACAATGGTACTTGAAGTAGTTGTGCTGATAAAATGGGAAGACTGATGATGGTGATGATAAGGACAATAATAATGAAAATATAGAGGATAGCAATATTCTACTTAGAACACGGATACAAAATGGATAAACAAGCAAATTAATAAAATAATAAATATTAAGTATATAAATGTTAAGATTCGAACAAACCGAAATATGCAAAAATCATATTCTTTAATAGGAAAAGAAAAATCTATCTATTCATTTAACTATCTATATCTCAATATATTTGTCGTAAACATAATAAAGTTTATAAAACATCTTTTAGGGACTTCTGCAACAGGACCTCTGCTCATGGTTTTAGCCACGTGATGGAAGACAACCTGCCTCTTCTCCTTCGTGTGTTCTGGCTCTTGGTCACCATCACAGGGTGAGTCCTTGTGAAAATTGGATTAATAGGAATAACTATATTTACGTTCTGATGATTTATAACATGATCTAATAACTCTTATAGTTATTATTCTGATAATTTATAACATGGTTACTTAGAAGACAAATTGATAAGTCGAAATTGAATAACTAATGATAAATAGTAACATGGTTCATAAGAAGATAATAATAACTACGAGTCTGAGAAATTGGATTTTATATAGAGTCTAGTCGGTAAGTATTTAAGATTTAGTTAAGGGCTTATTCGTGGATAGTGAGTGTTTAGCTAAGATGTTATCCACTTCCTCCCTCCCTCACAATAATCAATCTCTCCCCTCTCCCTCCCTCTACCTCCCTCTCCCCCCACATCCTCCTTCTTTCCCCCACTCTCCCGCTTCCTCCCTCCTCACTCCAACCCCTCCCTTTCTCTCTCTGCGCCTAAAGCCTGGTCCTCCTCATCTCTGCGACGAGCGAGGTCACCCACAGCGCCTTCGTCAGCCGCCGCCCCACCACCGAGGTCGTCTACAGGGACATGCGCAGCGAGGGCGTCCGAGTTCCGTACATCACCGTCTGCAGTCTCTCGGGCTTCTGGAAGTCCAAGTTGAGAAGTAAGGGCGCTGGATTGTTTTTAAAGGCGTTTGTGTGTGGGTTCGGTGCGTGGGCCTTGTTTATTATGTTTTGTTTTTTGGGCGCGTGTTTGTTTCTTGTTTTTGTTTTTTGTTGTGCTTTTTTATTATTATTTTTTTTTGCGCTCGTTTTTCGCGCGTGTTTGTGGCTCGTTTGTGTCTTTTTCCGCGTTTTTGTACCTTTGTTGAGCGAGTTTGTGCCTTGTATATTATTTCTAGCGCGTGTTTTTTTTCAGTGTGTTTGTGTTTTTTGCGCGTGTTTGTGCCGTGTTTATTCTTGTTTGGGCGTGCTTGAGCCGGTATTATTATTCTGTGCGTCTTTGTGGCTTATTTCTCCAAACTGTGAATTAAAGTCATTGGCTTGTGTTTTTTAGGCCGTTTGTAGGTGTTTGTGGCTTAGGTGTTCGTATGTTTGCTTTGTTTGGGTGTGCGTGCTTGTGGTGTGTTTCCCGGGTGTTTGTTTGGAAGTCGACGTTAAATAGTGATATGATTATGCTTTTTTTTTTTTTTTTTTTTTGCGTGTGGTTTGGCTGTTTGTGCTTTGTTTTGCTGGTGTTTCTTATAGCTTGTTTGAGAATTGTTTTGTTTGCGTCGGTGTGCGTGTGTGTGTGGCTTGTTGCTTGGGCGTTTGTGCGTGTTTGTGTGGTCTGTTTTGTTTGAGTGTTTGTATGTATGTGAAGCTTGTTTCGTGGGTGTTCGTCCGGGTGAGTGAGGATTGTGTCATGGGTGTTTGTGTGTGCGTCGTTTGTTTTTTTGTGTGTGCTTTGTTTGTTTTCGTGAGGTGGTAGTAATGTATTTTTCGTCATTAGTTTGTTTGTCTTTGCATTTTTTCTTTTTATAAAAGGTCTTGTTTACTTTGTTTTTATTTTTTTTGTCTCAATCTTGATTTTTGTTTGTTTGTTTGTTCTTATCTTGTGCGTTATTTTTGGGTGGTAGATTTACTTGCTTATTGTATCTGTGTTTATTTGTTAGATGTACTTTTCTCTTTCCCTTTTTGTGTTTATTTTATGAAAAGGCTTACGTCTTTATATAAAAAAATGTGTTTATAAAAAGGCGTCCTGCTTAATGAACAGCAACAACAAAAAAAAGGAAAAAAAACAATAAAAAACCTAAGGAGTTTGTACTCAGTGAATAGATACTTTTCTCTTTTGTTTTCATGTCGTTTGAGATAATTAAAATGCTAATCATACATAGTGCTTCTTTGCAACAACAATGCAAACTCTCGGGAATACTTGACGTGTTCCAGATTTTTTTTTTTTTTTTTTTTTTTTTTTAAGATAAGAGAGGAAAAGGGAAAATAATAAAAAAGAAGTACAGACACAGATACAGATATGCACACGTACACACAAACACACACATACTCAAACTCACACAAACACACACACACGTACGTACACACACACACACACTCACACAAACACACACGCACGTAGACACACACACACACACACTCACACAAACACACACCTACACTCACACACACACACACACACACACACACACACACACACACACACACACACACACACACACACACACACACACACACACACACACACACACACACACACACACACACACACACGAGCACGTATACGCGCAATCTACCTATCTCTCTATCTACGCCCCCTATCTATCTACCCCCCCCCCCATCTCTCTCTCCCTCTCCATCTACCTAATTCCCTCACTCACTCCCGTGGATCCTCCCTCCTGCAGGACACAACGTGAGCAACGCCCTGGCCTCCTACATCCTGCTGGCGGTGCGGGGGACGGAGGCCATCAGCTCGCAGCTCGAGACGGACCCCAAGACCAAGATCCTCCTCAGGACCGAGCTCGAGGACTACCTGAGGACGCGGAATGTCACCCTCGAGCAGCTCGTCATCATGCTCTCGCCGACGTGGGTGCGGGGGGAGGGGGAGAAGGGGGAAGGGGGAGGTGAAAGGGGAAGAGGGGGGCAAAAGGGGGGGAGGGGGAAAAGGGGGAAGAGGAGAGGGGGGGGAAGGAGGCAGATCTTGCTATTGTTATTTTATGTCTTGATTTTTTTGGGGGGGAGGGGGGAAGGGCTCTTGTTATCTTCTATATATATGTTATATCTTTTTCTTTTTTTTCTTTTTTCACTTTTTTGTCTTTCTTTTTTTCTTGCTCTCCTTTCTTTTACTCACTCTCTCTTTCTTTTGCTCTCTCTCTCTCTCTCTCATCTATCTGTCTGTCTGTCTCCTTTCGTCTCTGTCATTTCTCATCTCTCTCTCTCTCTTAACTGCAACACCAAATAATCACAAATTGAATGACACGTAGAAGACATAATATCAAGCAACACAATTTAAATCACCCAAAAATATGCTTTTCTCTCTCCTTCTCCTTGAAACAGCTGTAAGGAGGTCATCATAGGATGTTACAGCCCTACCAGCGGATCCTACAGGTAAGTTTTCTCGTTCAGGTTGTCTTGGTGATTATTTTCTCCATTAAGTTACCTTTTTTAGATGTTTATGTCTTGGTTGTAAGTGTGGACACAGAGAGATTACTGTTTTACTATATAGACACAGAGATGCCGCTGTCTATCGCTCTATTAGGTAATTTTGTGTTGATGGATATCTATTTCACGTTCTTTCTCGTGTCACTTCCCTCTCTCTCTCTCCCTCTCTCTCTCTCTCTCGCCCCCTCTCTCTCTCTCTCTATCTATCTTTCTATCTCTCTCTCCCCTGCTATATCTCTGTCTATTTCTCCCTTTCTTCCCTCCCTCCCTCTCTCACCTCTTCCTCTCTCCTTCCCTCGCTTATTTCTTCCCTCCCTATAATCCCCCACCTATTCCCTCTTCCTTCTCCCCCCCTCCTCTCTTTCACCAACCCCCACCCCTCGCCGCCTCTCACCGCCCCCCCTCCCCCCCAGCGAGCAATGCTGCAACGACGCCTTCACGCACGCCACCGTCACCAACATGGGCGTGTGCTACTCCACCCTGGGCCTGAACAACGCCTACAAGGGCGCCAACCTCACGCAGACCATCGCGGGCCTCATGGGCGGACACAAGATCATCTTCTCCGTCAGGAGTGAGGAGCAGATGGGTGGGTAGAGGGCTGAGAGGGTGGGCGGGCGGGCGTGTGGGAGCGGGTGGGTGGAATGTTTGTTTGTTTTGTTTGTTTTGTTTGTTTGCGAGGAACAGATGGTTGGGGGAGGGGGTGGAGATGGCGTGGGTGGTCGGGCGGGTGGGGGAGGGGCAAGGGGCTCTAGCATTCTTCGTTTGTTTGTCTGTTTGTTTCCGAGGAGCAGATGGATGAGGCCGCCCCCCCCCTCCCCCCTCCCACTCTAACCCCCCCTGCTCTCCCTCCCCGCAGAGTACGACCCGAAGGTGGTTTCGACGACCAGCCTGTCGGAGGAGGGCGTCCACGTGTCGCTCTCCAACTTCCCGGTCACGCCCACCGTGGCCGCCAACATGCAGGCCGTCCGCGTCGCGCCCAACACCGCCGCCTCCGTCGCGCTCTCCGTCACCACGGTGGGTAGGGGGGCGGGGGTGGGGGGAGTGTTGTCGAACAAATTTTTTTTTATCCGTTAACTTTTTTTTTCTTTAATTATTATTATTAGCCCATTTCTAATAATTTACTTCTTTGAACATTAGTCCCTTTTCAAACTACAATCTCGTTCCGTCTAACCATTACCCCTTTGCAAACCAGTCATTCTTTTGCCATTAACCTTAGGATCTAATAGTATCTATCTTTTTAAACCATTAATCTTCTACCCCCTCCCTCTCTTTCCCTCACGGCCTCAGTCCCTCCCTCTTTCCTTCCCTTCTCTTTTCTTTACCTTTCTCTCTCCCTCCCTCC